CAAGTATTAATGATCTAAAAATGGTCTAACTCAATTTGCTATATTAATTAGTATAAATTCCCTAAGTCAATTTTCAGTAAGAGCTCCACAATGAACTTACGTTATGTCCCCTGCAGTTGAAGGAAATCCATATTCATCAAAAAGCCGCATTAGATCACCAAATTGCCCATGTAAATCACCAAAGACTTTTACGGGTGCTTTCAACTGAAGAACCGTAGGCTCATGCATAAATAGTTGTTCAGCCGCATAACAAAGTTCACCAACTTCATAAGAGTCCAAGAAAAATCTTCTATTTGCAGGAGCTTTCCAGTTTCGAGGTCTAAGCAATGTAGAAATAACCTACAAGCAAATATATTATACTTATTTAACATGTTAAAATACTGAGAAAAATTTGAGGAATAAATCCACTAGTTCTTGCCTTTTTATGCAATCCTTGAGGAGACTTTTGCCTAGAGAACTTCTTGGTTGGATATGAAAGATCATTGTTCACGGGAACCATTCTTCTACTCTCATTTTCAAACTGATCCAGGGATAACTGCCTTACCATACCACCAAGATTCCCCATAGCCTCTTTGGCAACAACAACCTGTACCAACAAAACAGTGAGATACTGCTACTTGGTAGCTAAAATACCATTAGAACGTATGATAGATGTGTGCTACATACAGCTCTAGGATGAAGACGAACATCTACTTCAGCGTCAGTGCCATCTGAAGTTGTTTCCGCAGCAGTTGAGCTATCATCAGAGACAGATGTTTCCTCAGCAGAAATGGCAGATGCTGCCTGTGCAGCTTGCCAGACCGCACTAGCTGCCTCAGCTTCAGCAGCAGAAGCCTCCCTCAGTTTTTCCAGAGAGCTTTTGTCCATGCTGGTGAATATAAAATAACAATCAACTTGTTGAATGATGCTAAGTCAAATTATTTACATTGAGAGAGAAGAAGGGAGGAAAGAGAAGTAGAAAGGAAAAGCTAGGGAAGGAAATGGCATAAAACCTCATGTTCTCAGATGGTAGGGCCTCTTGTCCAGAATCTGAAGGGGGTGTTGTGTAAGGACTTAAACTATATTGATTAATTTTGGGATTAGTCACTGTTGGTGCTCTTTCAGATGTCAATATGGGGGAATTGATGTCAGACTGAAATGGTGAATTTTCTGCAACTAAAAAATCATCTAGCAGCACATCTGCACAGCATAAAACAATTATTTAATGGCATGGTGTAAGGAAAAACATTAGGCAAGACAAAAATACTGCAGTAGCAAACATAGAAAGGTTTTATTCCTTTAAGAAAACCGAAAGTTAATATTACAAGAGTTGGCAAACTATTACGACTGGAACCAGAAGGAAAAAAGTAAGGACATGAAGTTTCACACTGACTAATAAGTATGATATCCTTGTATCTACGAGGAAAGACGAATATATAATCCTAGAAAGTCAATTTTCTCTTTAGATGCCACTAGATGTCATAAACATTTTGAATATGCAGATATTAAAAATTTACTCCCGGTTTTGCATGATTATAGCTTGACACAATACATCAATATTTACTGTCATAATCTAGAGATTATTCCCACCCATGGAAGCTTCACACACTGCCCCTCAAATATTTGCGTAATGCTTGTCTATAGTTAGCACGAATTCATATATGCCAATTACTTATTTCCCCTTCATCTACATTTAGGATTTTGATCTCCAATTTTATAAGACATTGTACAGGTCATTCGACCTGTATGTAACTACCAACAAAGAAAAAGGATCTTTTGTTACAGTAGTTGCTGTTAAGGGCTTTGCATCCAAGCTCCCTAAGATAAGAGAATTGGCAATGACCATTTGGCCACATGCCCTGGTCAAGAAAAAGGATCTTGTTAATTTCAGATAGACACTGCAGCTTAGGCATCAATTTAAAACCTAAGTGTAGGGTGTATAGACGTAACAACATGAGGAGAAGAATTCTCCATTTAGGGGGGCGAGAGAGAGACAGAGAGAGAACCTCTGTAGCTATAAATGTGAACTTTGCTCAGGATTCAGTACATAACTTCAATTAAATCGTCAAAGTAGTTAACTTTCCAGGAGCTCAACATTCACGGTTAACTTCCTTCTACTTGTATAAAAAAATTTAATTCATAACTAATTGGTCTCTAAACTCTTGTTAAGTCTTAAACAGAAAAAGAAAGTATAGTAACTAAGGCCCAAATAAAGAAAATTGAAAATATCGTAAAATAATTATTTAGGAGAATTTCAGCATAAATTTTAGTCCTACCTCCTCTTAAGCCACCGGAGACATAGATACGAACACCAACAGAGGCAGATGCATGCCGACAACGTCGCATAAGTTCCAAAGAAGGATCTTGATCAGCATGCCCCTTGCCACCACGGGGTAGAAGTCACTAGTCCATTTCTATCCAACCAGACTCCAGCAGCAGTGTCAAGAACTACTCAAAAGAAAAAACTGAGAAAAAATTGCTAAGTGGGAAAACATCATATCACACTTACGTTTCAGGGTGGAAAACCAAAAATTTACCTGC